TTTTAAAAATTCACACTTTTACAGTTCTGATATCAACGAGCTGCCGGCGATGAGTTTGACCGACCCGAAGTTGGGATGCGTGGCAAACACCAATGGCATCAAAATTAACCATTTGCATACGAATATTACGAATCCCTTAGTGGAACCTCAAGAAGAAGAAGACTTTGTCGTTTGTGCAAAAGATCTGTTTTTGCCTTTCGACGATGAGTCAGCAAAACTGACGGAATGGTTCGAAATGGTGAAATTACTCGGGGCCAGCCATGTTTTCATGCCTCTGACTGGGGAATTCCAACACCCGAATGTTGAACTCGTTATCAAGTAAGCTTCTTTGAAAATCGTTGGCATTGAATGCAAATTTTCTAGTTTGCAAAAAAAAATTTCTTCGTCTTTTTCGGAAATCTGCAAAGTTTAATTAGGGCATTTTCGAAATTGTGACGCCGCAATATTGGCTTAATAATCTTCCGGTTTTAAATGTCATTCTTCTTCCATTATTTTAAATGATCATGATCCATTGGCAAATTCTTTTTATTTAAATTAAATGCCCAAATGGGTTTCTCACCAAAGATTTTCGTTTTCATTAAACAAATTATCATCTTAGCTTAATTAAATCAAGTCACGTACACTGCATAAGGTAATTTCTGGAACTTGTATTAAATATGCATACCATAATTAATAAATGGTGCTCAGCAGAGTGTCGTTGAACAGTGACATCTATGCTAGAAGATGAGAATATGCCCCGCATATAAATTTTGGAAATAGCCAGAGTCCGGTGACACCTTAGCTGCCCGAAATTGTGCAATACAGTACAGTATATTGAAATTCGAAAATTTTGCTTATTAATGAGGACACTTTTATTTCGAAAATTTTAAGGAAATACGTTCGAGATGGCTTTCTGACAACCAGATTGGGAAATTGGCCAGGTAGACATTCCTGGCCAACTGGAATGATAACCCTTGCTCGGAATGCTCCAGAAAATTCCAGTTTGCACAGACTTCAAGAATCCCTGCTTGCCATGGACTCCATGTCTTGCATTCTAGATGCCATCGGAAGGTCTGTGAAACAACTGATTAATTATCGAAATTTGAAAGCGACTGATGAATGCAAATTTTATTCAGGTATAAATACGCCGTCGTCCTCGGGTCGAACGAGTTGATCCTGCCAAAAGGCGAAGGAATGAAAACATGGCAAGACGTGATGAGCAAAATCCCTGACAAAGGAGAATCTTCCGTTTGTTTTGCAAGCAAGCAAGTCATCAAGCATAAATCCCGAAGATACAACAACACTGAAGGCTTCAACGTAGACTTACCAACCAACACGTTTTTTCTCAATCACCTTCACACCTTGCCAGCAGATTTAAATTCCCC